TATCTCGACTCAGTAGAACGCTAGCATTGGTGAACAGTGTTTTACAAAAGACAAAGAGCGCCATAAACGATGGCTGGATTACATTTCCGAGATTTCTCGGCGTGCTGTATAGGGAATATACAGTCTGTGTCCGCTTTGGTGATTCATGCCGCATACATTGTCAGCATGCATTGTGTATTTTCCGAGGCGTGTTGGGATTGAAACCCATGGCTAAGAGGGATTTAATTATAATTGGTGTCTGCAGGGCCTGTCCATGTCAATTTACCGCGACTCCTGCCATTTGGTGACATGCTTCTGGAAGATCCTAATTGGTCAGTTAACATTAGTTGACAAATCAATTAAATCGCATTAACTCAACTCGAAAGGCCGGAAAGATTCAAATTTTGGACTTCCTTTCATGGTGTAGCGGTTTAATCTGACGGTACAGTACAGCAGGAAATGACAAATTGTCAAAATCTTACTGACTTTAGTGCAGTTTAACTAATTTATATTCCGTTTTCATCTAAATTTTGTTTTCCAGATTTAATTTATTATGCATATTGAATTGTTGAATTCGTAAAATGGTCAATCGTTCTAATGAATCAGTCACTGAATCTGTCAGCTTCACTGTCCTTTCTAATGATTCACATAAACTGATTTGCAAAACAAAGATTTAAAAAAATCATATTTTATTGTGAAGGTCTCATTTTACCTTAGTCTGAAATAAAGTAATGAGGTAAAAGGAGAGGAAAATGCCAAATAAAACAATGACTGAATAGAGTCATACTGCAAAATGAGTCAAACCTGATTCCTGCACAAATGACTCATGTGAGGTGCTTCTTTTAATCAATTCAGGTCAAAAAAAGAATCAGTTACTCCCAAGTTTTCCACTTGAATCATTCTAACAAATCAGTCACTGAATCTGTCAGTGATATTATTCCTTTTCATGATTCCCACAAACTGATTTGCAAAACAAAGATAAAGAAATCACACTTTATAATAAAGAACTTATTTTACCTGAGTTTGAACAAATGACTCATGTGAACACATTATTTTAATCATTTGATCAAAAAGAATAATGTACATTCGAGTTAGTTGGTTTAAACCATTCCACCGAATCAATCACTGAATCTGTCAGTGTCATTATTCTCTTTGGTGATTAGCATGAGCTGATTTGCAAAACAAAGATGAAGAAATCATGTTTCATAATAAAATAATCTCATTTTAGCTGAGTTGAAAGTTAGTAGTCTGAATTAATGTAATCTAATGAGTTAAAGAGGCAGGAAATTGTTAAAGAATCATACCACAATACCATTAAAATCTGATTCATGAACAAATGATTCATTAGAACTGCTGGTCAAAAAGAATCATGTCATCCCAAGTTACTTTGTTTGAATGATTCTAATGAATCTGTTAGTGTCATTATTCTTATTCATGTTTCATATAAACTGACTTGCAAAACAAAGATAGATAGATCATATTTTAAAATAGAGGAATCTTGTTTTACCTGAGTTGTAAGTTTGCAGTCTGGATTAATGTAAAGTTATAAACTATAAAGGTGGGAAAATGGTAAACAAAGCACTGATTGAAAAGAATCATACCCCAAAATGAGAAAAGTCCAACGCTATCTCATGACCAATTCATACGTATTTTACAACGATTTTGTTCGATTTGTCTAAACCACAGTGACTGGTAGGTTTAGGGGCGGGGTTTGCTGTAGGTCATTCGTACAAATTCAAACGAATTGTGCAACTCGTAAAATACATACGATTTAGCAAAAATCGTATGAATTTGTATGACTGAGGTCGTACAAATTCGTACGAATTAGCCACCTCGTAAAATATGTATGAATTGCCGTGAGATCGGGCTGAAAAGTCTGATTCATGAACAAATGACTCATGTGAGGTGGTCAAAAAGAATCATATACTCCTTAGGATGATTCAAGTTTGTAGAATCATGTAACGAATCACTCAATGAATCCATCAGTGTCATTATTCTTTTTTAAGATTCGCACAAACTGATGTGCAAAACAAAGAAAAAGAAAACCTATTGTGTAATAAGAAATCATATTTTACCTGATTTTACCTGAGGTTTGTAGTCTGAATTAATGTAATGCAATAAGCTAAAAAGGCGGGAAAATGTTAAATAAAATGCTGACTGAAAAACATACTGCGAGACTGATTCAATGACTCAATGACATTTGCTGCTGCTTTTTTCATATACTATTGAGTTTGAATCAATCTAACGAATCAGTCACTGAGCCACTGATATTGTTTTATGATTCTCATGAACTGATTTACAAAGCGTCTGGAATACAAGGGTGAATTTAGTAAGCAAAACTGTACAGCACATTGGAAACCTAGACAGCATTAGCATTTTGAGCATGTGTTTTCACATTCATGTGACCAAGCGCATTTGAATCCAGGGCTGTACGTTAACTTTTTTTTCACATAGCACTGGTGCTACAGAGGTTGAAAGTTTTGTAGCACAGGCACAAAAAATACAAACCATCACAAAAATTGTTTTAGACAAAGTTTTCTTAATTTGCTAAAAATGGAAGAGTGCAGAAACATAACACCTCTTACACCTTAACAAAATATAAAATAAAAAACAATTGCAGACATTTAGGCAAAGTGAGCAAAGATAAAAATCTTTGTCATTATTTTATCTTTGTTATTACAAAATAAGAACAAAGATATACATTACAAATACACATAATATACAAATAAAACAAATAGTGCTTTATTTTTCAGGTACAGCATTTAGCAGTAGCATTCAAAAAAATTGAATGAACAAATATTAAAATAAAACACTATATACATCAATTATACTTTTTTAAAAGCAACTTTCAAAAGTCAAGAGCAGTGAGTGATTTTTTCTGTTTTGTTGTTTTACTAACATTAAAAGAATAGGCTAGTTCACCAAAAATGAAAATTCTGTCATCTGTCTTTCAATAGTGTCGAATGTGCGCTGTAGCACGATACACCGATATTTCTTCAAAAGCAGATCGTGGAAACATTTTAATCGTCCACAATCAAATATCGTCATATCGCACACCCCTAACTACCAAGTATAATCAATCTCACACACACAAACAAGCACAACGAAATCACGTCACACTATTAAGCGGCTGTGTTATGAACATGCAAAACTGTATCGCACGCATGCTACAGTGGTAAATTTATTCATCGCACAGACCAGTATTTTCGTAGCACGTGCATATATGTCGCACTGTACAGCCCTGGAATCGCAATGAACAACCCCTATTCTGACATTCATTCTGCTCTGTGGGATTCGTCTATCTCAGAATGGCAGAACAGTGTGAGCTTCCCCAGTGAATATTCCCGATAATGGGAAAAATTCCCATGGCTAAGTACACTGTGCAGTGAACGGGAACACAAGAGCGCGGCTGTGGGATTTCAGCGAGACAAACAGGGAGTGATGCCAAGTTCAGCGCCTCTCTTTCCAGAGCAGCCAGCGTACTGAAGCAGCTGCCATGGGTTTACGTCGTTTGTCTGTCCTTTTTTATCGCATTTCCGATCTTCTGATGCCACGCTCATAAAAGCGACTCTCCAGGGCAGCGGGCACGGACTCAGATATCGACACTGGCCGTCTAATAAATCACCAGAGAGATCTGGAGTCGTCATCGACCTGCAAACTATAAAAAAAGATGAAGTTGTATTTCACTTTTGCTTACATCGTTACCAAACAGCGTTGAATTTTGATGTTCCTAAGTAGAGCGATCCTGTCTATCATGTTGAATATTCATATTTAATGGGTGGATGTCTTGAAAATGGTTGGTAGGAAAGAGTGACATATTCCATTTCTATCTGATTCAAAACCTGAAGAACTGTTGATGGATTTTGACAAATCCTAACACTTTTTCTTGGCAGGGCTGTTCAGGACGTTCCTATGTGATATCCATCACATATTTGCAGGTCAGGGGTCTTAAATAGACATCGCCCCAATGTATAAATATATAGCTTCTTGTGTCATTCTGGAAAGGTCGGTTTATGGTTATAAAAATAGAATGTAATAAGCATTAGAGGATGTTCTGTGTAGGTTATATTTAGGTTGTCATAAAAATAACTCCCTTCAATGTTCTATGAAGGTTACTTTAGAATTATAGAAATACAACCTAAAAAAATAAGCATTACAGAATGTCCTGTAAGTTAAGTTGTCAAAATATAAAATAAATAAAAAATAAAATAAACAATCCCTGCAACATTCTGGGAAGGTTAGTGTTTGATTAGATAGACAGTCAGTCAGACAGTCAGTCAGTCAGTCAGTCAGTCAGACAGACAGACAGACAGACAGACAGACAGACAGTCAGACAGACAGAATATAAAATAAAATAAAAATCCCTGCAATATTAATTTATGGTTACAGAAATCTCAACTAATAAGGTAGTAACAATAAAACCTAAGAAGAAAGAAATTAAAATGATGATGATAATAATAATAATAACAATAATAATAATAATAATAACATTCTGTATATGTTCTATTTATGTTGTAAATAAATAAATAATAATCTGTATAGGTTCTCTTTAGGTTGTAAATAAATAAACCCTTCAAGTTTAATTTATGTTTAGAAAAAATGATTATATTAAGGTTATAAAAATAAAATCCAAATAAATAAATGATAATAATAACAATAATTACATTCTGTATAGGTTATCTTTAGGTTGTAAATAAATAAATAAATAATAATCTGTATAGGTTCTATTTAGGTTGTAAATAAATAAACCCTGCAAGTTTAATTCATGTTTAGAAAAAAAATATTATATTAAGGTTATAAAAATGAAATCCAAATAAATAAATAAATTCTAATAATAATAATAATAATAATAACATTCTCAAAGGTTCTCTTTAGGTTGTAAGTAAATAAAGCCCTGAAATGTTCTGTTTTTGATTATAAAAATAAAAATATTTATAAAAAATAAAACCCAAAATATAACCATTAAGGAGCACTCTTTATACGTCATCTTTAGGTTGTCACAAAAACCTCCCAACAACATTATGGAACCGAACGGGAACCGTATGCCAACATTAGAGAAAAGTTCTTCCTTTTTTTTTTTTTTTTCTTTCCCCCGGCATCACCGGCTTCACTCACGGGTCTCTTTCTGTTCTTTCTGTAGGTGGAATCTGCATCGCTCAGTCCCTGAAGATCCCTCACGACCACAAGCAGGCTGATTTTGACAAGATTATCCGACAGCTGCTGGAGACCCGTCATGCCCGGGCGGTCATTATTTTCGCTTACGACGAAGACATTCGGTAAGCTGTTGACAGGAGAGGAAGAGGAAGAGGAAGCGGAAATCGCAAGACAGAGCTATAGTAAATTTCATTTTCAAGCAATTAATTGCTCCCTTTCGAGCTCCAAAGAAAACAACATAAAAGTTCTCGATGACAACAAGTCAATACTCTATTGGCCTGAAAGCTATTACTTAGATAAAACTCAAGGGTGCACTTCAGGGCTTTATATCTTGTTTGCTGGATAAGCTCAGCCGCTTGGGGTATTGATTAATGACATCAACATATCATTCAAGCAAACCCATTGAAAATTGCTTTTTTTTTTGTATTTCATACACAATAACGATTCAATCTGGATGCTATTACAATCGCAAGCCTACATCTCCTGCGATGTTGAAGAGTCACAGAGGGCTTCGAAGTCATGGTAATGGTTTCCTGTGTGGGAATGTTTGCAGGGGGATCCTTAACGCTAGCAAAAGAGCCGATCAAGTGGGCCATTTCCTGTGGATCGGCTCGGATAGCTGGGGAGCCAAGAACAGCCCTATTCAAGGCCTGGAGGACGCCGCCGTTGGTGCCGTCACCATCCTGCCAAAAAGAGCCACTATTGCTGGTAAGATTGATCAGTTTTGGAGACGATTATGCTGATGATTTTTAGGGAAGACCAGTGTCTCTCAGTGTTGTGTGACTTTCAATGGCTTCATGTGGGTTCAGCGGTTGTGATGATGGGGTGCTAAGACTTATTCTTCAAGCGTCAAATTTCTTGACGCTTTTCTTGAGAAGCTGTGTCTTTACATTTAGAGGTGTTTCATCAACTGCTGGCACTTTGTGTTGATTTTAATTATTTTGTACTGGCGTTTTTGTTATAAACTACCATTCAGACATTTGGGGTCGGTAATAATTTTTACTGGTTTTGAAAGAAGATTCTTCTGCTCACCAAGACTGCATTTATTTGATTAAAAATACAGTATCTACAGTAATATTATGAAATATTATTGTAATTTAAAGTAAGTGTTTTCTATTTGAATATATTTTAACATTTAATTTATTCCTGTGATGCAAAGCTGAATTTTCAGTATCATTACTCCAATCTTCAGTGTCACATGATCCTTCAGAAATCAGTCTAATATGCTGATTTGCTGCCCAATAAACATCTTATTATTATCAATTATCATTAATTATTAACCCCGCCATAACTAGAAAGTTTAAAAGAACAGTATTTATTTGAACTTTTTTATTTTATTTTTATTTTATTTTATTTACTTCTTAGACATAAAAATTTTTTGGTAAACAATGTCTTTACTTTTCACTTTTGACCAATTTAATGCATCCTTGATTATCAAAAGTACTGATTTCTTTAAAACAACAACAAAAATGCATATTTCAGACCATAAACTTTTAATACTGTAATAATATATTTTTTTTTTGTTATTTTAATAATACATTCAACATTTATTATTGCAAATAGATTTTATTTTAGATTTTTTTAGTTTTACCTATCAGACCCAGACTTTATATCTTAATATATATATAGTGGGTACGAAAAGTATTCAGACCCCCTTAAATTTTTCACTCTTTGTTATATTGCAGCCATTTGCTAAAATCATTTAAGTTAAATTTTTTTCCTCATTCCGTACCCACTGTATATATATATATATATATATATATATGTCAATATTACAACTCTCCTTCAATTGCAGTGACATTTTAGCAAATTATTGAAAACAAATCAATATATTATTTAATTGTGTATAGCATATAATTAGCCTCAGCATGACAAAGGAGTGAGATGTTTTATTTAAAAAATGTTAAAAATCTCATTCAGGTGTGGTCACATTAGCAACATTTTGGTGAAATTTCACAAGCAAAAAGGGCTATTTTCTATTATCAATAGTGTAGATTCATCATTTACACAGAAATAACTTTCAAACCTAACTTTCAATTAGTCGTAACTTCCAATCTGCGTGACCAACCTGTTGAGGAAATATTTTGCCTGCGTTCAAAACTCCATTTTGATTCCTATTGAAACTAAATTCTGAATGCAAAATTTTGCAGAACAACTGCAAATGTGACTTTTTTGAAGAAATACTGAGTAAATTACAGAATTCAATTCATGTATATACACCACTGGACATTTTTAGATCAAAATAAACAAACTGTGAAAGTGTGCGTTCATTCCACAGGCCTAAAGTTGAAGAAACACCCTATTTTTACTTGATCGCACAAGCGAAGTTCAGTTGCTGCTTGCAGTGTATTCCTGTTCAGAGTTGAATGGATGGAAGGAACGTTGCTCTAATAATAGAAAATCATCTCCCTGGTGTCTTCGAAACTGTGTCACGTTTGATAGAGATGGCACCTGGTGCACGTGGAGACCGAACCGAGCACAACGGTGTCCAAAGGCTTCCGAGCCGATTCGTTTTGCTCACTGGAGATTGTGAACCCTGGATTGTGAGGCCTGGACACAGACTGACCCAGCTGGCATGCTTCTCCGTCCAGCACTGCCATGGGCTTCATCCGAGTGCCAGATTAATAAATGAAAGGCCCTGTGGTGTTATATTTTGTGGCGGACATAAACTAATGATATAAAGAGCCCTGTGGATGAAGGGGGCATGTATGGTGCAAAAAGAGAGATGGATCCTCTGTGGAGAAAAGGCCTTGAGGTCTTACACTCTCCATGACAAGGAAGCGTCCTGTTGTTGTCGCATTAAAGGAGTAATTCATCCATAAATAAAAGCTCTGTTATCTGTTTTACACACTCTTAACGTTTCAAAAACTGTTTCCTTATGGCAGTAGTTCAAATTCATTGGTGTCATTTTATTTTAGCACAACCGTGAATAATTTGTGAGATTATTGGCAAATAATATCTTAAAATACAGTCTTTCGATTGATTCAAAGCTATTATGTTGCTTCACATCATGTCACTTGTAGTGTAGTGTTGTATAATGGTATACTGTAAAGTAAAACAAATATATAAAAATTCACTAAAATAAAATAAAATAGAAATATTGGAAATGTTTTGACCACTAAATAATAATAATAATAATAATAACAAAACTACTAAAACTTGAACTAATGGTAAAATAAACACTGAAAAAAAAAAGCTAATACAAAATCATTGCTATTGTAGTATTGATGATTATTTTTTGTTAATATTTTGAACAATATTTTGCTTCAATATTTTAATTCATTTTCATATAAGTTAAAGTTTATATTAACATTGTGTTGTCTTTTTGTATGTTTTTTAAAATGTCTATAGTTTTTCTTAACTTTTAGTTTTTATTTTCAGTGATTTACTTTGTTATTTTAGTACTTCAACTTAAACTAAACAAAATGTTGCCTTGTCAACTAGCTGAATTAACTTTTTTTATTAACTAAATTTTATTATTTTTTATTATTTTATTAAACTTTTAATTTATTTTATTATATTATTTCAGTTAATGTTACTTTTATTTCAAGTAAAGTTTTATTTATTTATTTATTCCTGTGTAGTTTTAGCTAACAATAATAACCCTGTTCAAAATATTAACAATAGTATATAAATAATACACAAATAACGCTGGTGTCATTTGAGCTTTTTGGTGTGTATTTTGCCCTTATATGAGGAGCATGCATATTCTACATTGTTGACAATGTACATTCTGAGTGAAATATTTCACTTTATATAAAAACCCTATAGCAGAGTTTGAATGGGAGAGCAGATGTGTTCAAACATAAATGCTTTAATAAAAATGCTTTCTGCAAAAAAATTAAATAAATAAATAAATCAACAATTTCCACCTTCCCGTGTGTTTAAACAACTGGTTTTCCGTTCTGGAAAATGTTATCCTTGATAATTCCATATTTACATCTTCACTCCTCCCGCCAGCTAATCTGTGCGATGCAACGCTGCAAATCTAAATCGTGTCACACAGTGCAATGCATTTTCCAGGTATCCACGGGGTTATGATAGCATCTCTTAGCTTGCGCTTGCTTACGCTGTTTGCCATTTGCTGATAAGTGCGTCGAGCGGTGCTTTGCCGGGTCGAGCAATTGCCCCTGCATTTCACAGCAATGATGGAACAATTTGAAAGGCACTCGTCAGGGAAAGCATCACACTTACAGCTTTATTGTGCTCTTTGAAAAAGACATGTGAAAACAATTGAATGTAGTTTTGCCATGAGCTGCAGTCATATAGGGAGTTTGTCTTTCCACAGGCAGCTCGCGAGAAACTCACAACTCCATCCTTTTCATTTACCTTTCCCTTTTTGAAGTCAAACGATGTTGTCTTTCTGGATCGACATGAAGCTCGAAGCAATTCAGATGCTTGTCTTTGATCTGATGTATGTGAGTGTTGGTGTACATATACACAACCTGATGATCTGAAGTGTCTTGTTTTTATTTATGGCACACAGTAGACTAAACATGCCACCCTGACAAAACAATCTGTGAATTAACTAGACCCACTTCTAAAAATGTATATTTTGAGAGTTGCTTTTAACTTTGCCATGTTGTGACAACAAAAAATAGCTAGTTTTGAAATACAATGACTTTAAAACCAAGAAGAAGCTTGTGCCAACCGGTTGCATCAGCAGTGGACTGAACGAATGTACAAGCGATAAGCGGTAATCCTCCTATAGCTAACACCCACTTTACTGCCTTTCAGCAAATCACTACTGGGCAAAAGTTACATCATCTGTTTAATATTCAAGAGCCAAGCTGGTTTACAATGTGTCCCCACTATTTTTGAGTTTGGGGAAAATTGTGTAGGAAGATTTATTTATTTGTTTGTAAATAAATAGTTTATCTGTTATACAAAATCTAAATAAATCAATGTACTACTTCACGTTCTCTTCCTTCTTTCTATTTGTTTATATATGAACTAAATATATGTAAAATATGTAAATATAACTTAAAAAATGTAATTGTTATTGTTAATCGAAATAACATAATAAATATTAGAATAAAATATTAGATGATAATTCAAAACTTAAACTTTAAAAACTTCAGTTAAAACTTAAAATTGAAATAAAATAAATATGTTACTTAAGTACAAAAATTACTAAAACAACATATGTAAAACAAACTAAAAGTAAAATGAAAACAGAACACAAGTAAAGCTGTTTTTTTTAAATAATAATAGTACAATAAATGTTACAAGAAAGTAATCATTAGTATTATTATTTATAATTAATCCCAAATAGATTTTGACTGAAGCTTTTCCTCAAAGTTGTCATATTTAAGAAAGTTTTTTTGAGTCAATTTATGGGGAGAGAAATGTATTTTTACATTAATAAATATGATCTAATTACTGTATTGCTCAATTATTATAAATATACCATTGCTAAAGTATTCTGACGTTTTATTTAAAGTCATTTGCCATTTAGTTTCTACAGTGGGAACAAAGAAACAGCAATAGTATTTTCTTGCAACACATAGCAATAATATTTGTTTTATTTACAACTTTGAAAAATATGTTTTACAGTGTAGGGTGTAACTAGCTAGGTGCCTAAGGAAACACTACTAATATTTCACACCTGTGGTACTCAGACAGAAGCAATGTATCTTGAACCTTGAAACCTTGTTTTTAATCCATCCTCATAAAATTAGGAAAAGTCGAACAGAGCTTGAGGCCTT